CTAAATATAACTATAAGATCTATAATAAGGAACTTCTAGCAATTATCCGATGCTTTAAACAGTGGCGGCCTAAACTAGAAGGCGCAGTATTCCCGATTTAGGTTCTTAGTAACTATAAGAACCTGCAGTACTTTACAACTATAAAGCAGTTAAGCCACCGATAGGCTTATTAGTCTAAATACCTGTCCTAATTTAACTTCTTAATTACTTACCAACCTGGCAAGTACAGTAAAAAGCCTAACGCCTTAACGCGTTGTACGCAAGATGCGCCTGCGCAAGAAGAAGCTCGAGCAGCCCGAAATTAGATACTGCTCTATTCCAACCTGTTTACGCAGTTAAATCTAACAGAAACTAACCAAATAATTTAGGAGATTATTAAGGATAAATACCTAAATAATAAGTTTATCTAGGAAGTCCTGGAGATATTACGCTCCAGAGTACACCGCTCTAAGAAGATTACCCTAAGTAAATGTAAAGAGCGAGATGGCAAGCTCTACTTCCGCAACCGAATGGCAATTCCTAATAATAATAAACTAAAGATTAAACTGCTTCGTCACGTGCATAATTCCCCTGTTAGCGGCCACCCTAAATATAGAAAGACTTTAGAAATCCTCTAAAGAGAATACTACTGGCTGTATATATTTAAAATAATCTGCTAATTTATAGTATACTGTTATACCTGTTGCTGTATAAAGGCTTTAAGAGAGAAGTATAATAGCTTCCTAAAACCCCTGCCCGTCCCGCAGCGTTGCTGGCAAAATATTTCTATCAACTTTATTATTAAACTACCCGAATCCGAAGGCTGCACTAATATTATAGTTGTAGTAGACCGCCTAAGCAAGTACTAATATATAATTCCCTGTAGAATAATTACGGCTAAGGCTACAGCCGACCTATTCTACTAATATATTTAGGTATATCACGGATTGCCTAATATATGTGTATCCAATTAAAGATCGCAGTTTATCTCCGCGTTTTAGGATAAACTCTATAAGCAACTACGTATTAAAGCCCGATTATTATTAGCCTTCTACCCGGAAACTAATAGCTAAATAGAGAAGGCTAATTTAATGCTGGAATAAGTCCTCCGCGCCTATATAAACTATAAGCAAGATAACTAGGTTACCTGGCTGCCGTCTGCTTAGTTTAAGGCAAATAATACCTAATCTAAATTAATAACAGTAACACTATTTGTTGCTATCTTAGGATAACACCTAAGAATAGGCTTTAAACCGCTATTAGGAACTCCGCGCCCTGCCTATTAAGTACTGCAAGCACTTAAGGCTAATTAGATAGTTAATAAAATATCGGATATTAAGCAGTTTATCCGCGAAGAGATAACTTAGGCCTAAGTAATGCAAGAAAAATACGCTAACCGAAAATATATAGGCGCACCGGCCTATAAAGTAGGTAATAAAGTCTAGTTAAATGCACGGAATATCTATACAAATCAACCTGCTAAGAAGCTTAATTAAAAGAACCTAGGGAAGTTCCCGATTATACAGATTATCTTTCCGTACGCCTATTAACTAGGCCTACCTAAATTTATAAAGATATATCCTGTCTTCTATATCTTATTACTCTGTCCTGCCGCTCCGCAAGCTAACTACCTGCCTGGCTAGGAGTTGCCCCTACCTAAACCTATTTAAGTTAAAGAAGAGACTAAATAGTATATCGACCGTATTAAAGGCATGCGCCTAAACCGGCGCTAAAAGCAATATAAGTACTTAGTCTAATAGACTAGATATAACAACCTGTCCTGGCAACCTGTTAACAACCTAAAGGACACTACTGCTGCAGCTAATTATTATTACCGCCACCCCGAAGCTTACAATCCTGCGTCCGATAAGCCCCGTCCTGCTGGACCCTGAAACCTTAATTAAGATTTAATTTACAGCCCTACTCCCGACAAATAGCCGTACACATCACGAACAGCGCCTTCTACTCGCCAAGAGACTTGGGTTTAGGGGGGGGTACTGTCACGGTATCGACCGCGACACCCTACCTACCGAAATTCTGCCGCAGATTGCTACAACTCTAGCAATCTGCACCGGCCTACTACCGTTGGCCGGCCTCCTGCCCTGCCTACCCTGCTCCGCTCCCGTCTCGCTTCCGCTTCCTATCCTGTCCCGCTCCAGCCACCTACCGGCTGCCCCCTTTTCCTATCACCTAATCTGGTAAGGACCTCGCGTATACGCGTGCCACGCGCCGAAACGGCATAGAGGCCGTACGCCACGCGCTCGGCCACGCCCTTATATCCGGTGGCCCGTCTCCCGTTTTCCTGTTCCTTACACAACGTCTTAATTCTCCACGTAGCATTGTACATAGCACCTAATCAACGCTCCTCTTTAAGCCCTCGACCTCTCGCGTGTAGCGCTATTATAACACTAAGCTAGCTAAAGATTAATAGAATAATACAGACTGCTTATTTAATACAGCAATCTTCCTATTTAACGCCTTTTTAAATACTATATACTTCTTGCTTTATATTACTATTCTTACAGCCTCTAACCTAGTTAACTTAATTAATAATATATAGAGATATAGATAGACTTTTATAACTTAAAACTATTACCTAAGTACTGTTTTTATAGGAAGATAATATAAGCCAGCAACTACGCGCTAAAATAGGTGCAGTAAACGCCGCAGATACTATAAATATAGTTTAATATTAGAATAACCTAGTATACTTACTATTATACAGTATAATATTAATAAGAGCCGCAAGACCTAGAGGAAGTTCCTGGAAAAAGCGGAGAAAGCCTAGCCTTAACTGCTAGTACTAGCAATATAAAAGCTATAGAAGAATATATAGTAATAAAAGTATATAATACTCTATATAAAGTTCTATTACTTTTTATATAAAGAAAGCCTATATATAAAAACGTGTATATATATTAATAAAAACCTTAATATTAACTAGTAGTTAGTAGAGCACTACTTACTAAACCTTATTACTCTTTTTCTTTATACTAGTAGAAAGGACATCTAAATTTATAATATCTATAACCCGAAACTAAATAGAATTATAGCTGCACTACCTCTACTACTAAATAATAATAACGCGGAGCACGTTTTTATAGGTGATATAAACCTATATTACCTATTATAGGGAGGAATATAAGTAATAAACACGGAGGAGTAAGCGGAGAAGCTTATCCGCATTATAATAGAAGCAGGAATAGACCTGGCCACGGAAAAAGGTATAAAAATATAGGCGAGAGGAATATTATAGTCTATAATTAACCTTATATTTATAACGGGATAGCTAATAGAATAAACTACTTCCTATATAGTGCAAGAGGAATAGAACTGCAATTTAGATTACCGCCCTATATATATAGAGTTCGATATTACCCTACTAAGCGCAGTAGAACAGCTATAATATTAGCTATAGAAGAATACCGACTAGAAAAAGGCGCAGGATATAACGGGTCGTTTTTTCTATACCTTCTAAGTGTTACATACTAAGGCAGGGTATAGGTTAAGTTGTTGTCGGGGTGCAATAGTCTTTAAAAGGTAAGGCAATAATCAATTAAGGTATAAAACGGGGTTATTACTTCTAATAGGTAGTATTAAAGTCTTAAGTTAAATATAAGGTTCCTATTTATGCAAAGGAGCGTCCCTTTATATAAAAGCTCCGTCCTAAGAAACCTTTTGCTTGTATAGCTCGCAGCCTCGAGCCCCTCGAGCCATCACGTGGCCCTGTCCTCGTGATGTCCTATTCTTAGATCGTTCCCATCCACTAGCAGTCTGTGGGGGAATCCAGGATCCCTATGCGTCCTACACGTGACCCCTTTAGTCCCGTGACCTGGTTCTGTATAATTAGTCTTATCTGCTTACTTGTCTCCGCAAGTGCCTCTGCGCTCGGGTTGTTCGTATTACGGGTTATAACACAGAAGTACCTTTAAACCTAGCTAGATAAGCTGGATAACTAGAATAACCCTTAAAATATAGAGGATAACTTTAATAAATTTGCACGCCTTTTCTATAAATATATACAGGCTATAATTACTGCTATAGTACCTATTACAAGGCTATTAAAATAGGCATCGCTGGTATAGTTAGAAGAATACTTAGAGGAAGTATATAAAACTAGAAAAGCGTATAGAATATAGCGCTTATCGCAATCTATAGAGGACTAGATATTATACTATATTTAGTATAACTATAAGAAAAGAACTATATAAAGGGAGAGTACTAAGGTATAGCGCTATATAGTAGAGAAAGTAATAAAAAACCTAAAAGGTATATAGAAGCTAGCTAATTAGGGCCGTATAGCTAGTAAGGAATTAAGACCTCCGCTTTAATTTCCCCCTCTTTTAAAACCTAAGAACCCTACTCTATATATAGATAACAAAATAAAAGCATATATACTAGCGGAGCAGTTTTTTCCGCCTCCGGCTAATATAGACTTATCTAACCTAGAAGGGTTCTAATACCCGGAACTGTATAATACTACACTAGATATTATAATTAAGAATATCCTTTTAGCGCTAATAGGAACTGCCCTAGATAAAGCCCCGGGTATTATAGGGATTACTAACAGGTTTCTTAAGAAGTGCGAAATATAGCTAGCACCTACGCTGGCTCGGTTCTTTATAAGGTGCCTATATAAAGAACACTATTCTTAGCCGTTTAAAAATTCTATTATAGTAGTGCTATATAAGCCCTAGAAAGCGTTCTATATAATAGTAAAGGCCTATAGGCCGATCGCCCTGCTAGAAATAATAGGCAAGCTATTTAAATAAATTGTAGCTATACGGCTATTAAAAATTGCGGAAGAAAAGGATATACTTCTACCTAGTTAGATAGGGGCACAACTAGGATATTTAATATAGATAGTACTTAAGCTCCTTACTAAATAAATCCACGCTATATAGAGAGGAAATCTACAGCTTATAGTATTACTTTTTAGCCTAGATATATTAGGGGCGTTTAACCGTGTGTTATATAAATATATAATATATAACCTATAGATTTAATAAGTGCCGGAGTAGATAGTTAGGTTTATAAGGTCCTTCCTACAGGACCGCACTATAAGGCTTACTATCGGAAACTTTATAGCGGAACCTATTACAGTTACTACAGGAATACTGCAGGGCTTTTTCCTATTACTAATACTTTTCCTTTTCTTTGCTAGCACGCTTCTACTAATACTACAGCGCGGTAATATAACAGCCTATAGATTTATTAATAATATAAATATCCTTATATATAGTAAAAGTATAGAAGAAAACTATAGGGCTATTAAATAGGCGCATAACTAGTGTATAGAGTGGGCAAGAAAGTATAAAGCAGTCTTTGCGCTAGATAAATACTACCTAATACACTTTATAAGAGCCCGCAAGTCTATTAATATAAAAGCTATAGTTAATATATAGGGCTTTACTAAAAGCCCTATAATAGACCTAAAAATACTAGAGGTCTAGGTAGATTCTAAACTTAAATAGGGCCCGCATATTAATACTATAAAGAATAAAGCTATAGCCTAGATAGGGGCCCTTATAAGGCTTACAGCGTTAACCTAGGGCGCAAGCTTCCGGAAGGCACGCATAATATACTCGGCGGTTATTAGGCCTGCTATTATATATAGATACACCTTCTAGTATACTACACCGGGTATAAAAGAGTAGATTAGCAAGATAAAAATTAAGCAGCTTAAAATAGTATAGAACTAGTGCCTTTATACTATTTTAGGGGTATATAAAACAATAAATATTAGGGTAATAGAGTATAAAATATTATGCCCTCTACTCCGGCTAAAGCTAGAGGAACTTACGGTGGCCTATGCGGACTGCACACGTAAGGGGCCAGCCCGCAAGTATATTAAAACCTAATACAGCCGTATAAGAGAAACGGTCCGTGCTAAATACAGGCCGAAAGGAACACCACAGTACGGCCTAAGCAGGCGCGACGAACTCCGCAAGCTTGCGGCGAAGGTATTAAAGCTAGCCGCATAATATAAAGGCGAATCGGAAGAATCCTATAGGCGCACGAGGCGTGGTATAATCTAGGATAAATATAAAGAGAAGTGGAAAAAGGAATAGAAAGCCTACTATAAAAAACTACGCTAAGAACCTTTAATACCAGCACTTAATACTAAATAGAGTAAATAATAAGAGGCACTATATAAAGAACTTATAAAGGTAGAGAGTATAATTATTATAAACCTATAGACGGAGTATATAGGGCTTAACGGTTACCTCTACTATATAAAAGTGCCCGGCCACCTAACGCCGGTATGCCCTTGCGGGTATAGCCTCTAATCCCTAAAATATATTATAATAAGTTGCGGAAGACATATTAAAGGCAGGGGCGAGCTGTTCTAGAAGGCTAAGATAAGGACGTATAAACAGCTCTATAGAAGCTAGAAAAAAAGAAAGGCTATAGCCTAATAGCTTCTCTAAAGAACGGACCTTCTGCTATACCTTTTAGTAGCTAGAGAAATAGTAGAGGCGGAGATATAGGTATTCTACCTCCTATAACTTTATATAACTATATATACTACGTATACTATATATACTACGTATACTATATATACTACGCCGCGTATATTACGCACCTACCTAATAGCTATATCTACCTGTATACTGTAGCTCCTATATATATTACAGCCTATACAGCACTACCCCTATATATATTATTTAATTTAAGGACTAACGCCTTAATAAAGGGCACGCGTGCAAAACAACAGCATGCGTGCCCTTACGCTAATCCTAAACTAGCTTACTACTCCGGAATTAACTCGACCTGCGCCTAGGAGGACGACTATAAAACCCGGATAGATTTAGGAAAACGTATTATAATAGTTTATTCTGTAGTAGACTTAATAGATCTACTATATATCCCTAATAGCTATATAATAATAAGAAGAGCGCTTAGCGCTATACACCGCAGAGGACGGGGTTTTTATCCGAACGCTGCATAGCAGCAAACGGTTTCTCCTTATAAACTAGCCTAGATAGAACAGCTGTATAGACCCTAACAGGAGCTACACCAGCGTAATAGAATTTAATAATAATAATATTGCTATTTATTATCTTTTTTTATATCCTAGCCTAATTAACTAGTTCTTTTTTAAAATAACTAAAGGTCCTTTATTCCTATAGAAGATGCTGCTATAAATTATCTAGCTAGAATATCCCCTAAATTTAGGGACACAGCAATTAATATTATATTTCTCTTTAGCGCTTCTAGTAATAAAAATCTAGCCTCTACCAGTTTAAATAGACGCCTTATTAGTCTATATAACTGCTGCCTATATTTTAGGTATCTATTTAAGATAAGAATAAGCCTATTTTAGCCTAGCTTCTTATTATTTAGGTATAATAAGGGGCTTTTCTATTATAATACGCCGGAAATAGCCCTTTTTTTTTAAATACCTTATATAAGGATTGCTTATAGGTAGAAACCTTCTCTAGTATTATAATCTCCTCTAATAGCTTCCTTTAGTAGATAGTATTAAGCTTAGCCTAAGTAATAAGGCGCTGTTAATATTATAGCCACACGTTTGCTTATATAACACGTGCCTAATAGTTATATAATTAGGGCTCCGCGGAACGGATTAACGTTGCTCCGACCTTTGGTTTATAACAGCGTTAAACCTAGAAACCTCTTCCTTTTTTATATTTATTTTTTATTAATATTAATACAGCTTATTTCGATTCTAACCTTAAGCCCTAATATAAGATAAATACTCTTCTAGCTTCCGGAAGCGACGGAAGCAACCTAGAAATTTTTTCTTTATAATAGAGCGCGCTTTTATAATTAACTATTACCTATATAGTTAAGCTGTCGCCTATATAGCGGAAAAACCTATTAGCAGCGCTATAAGTATAGCTCCTAATAAAGCAATTTAACTCCCTGCGCGGAGTTAAGTAATAGACTTCTTAACTATACTAGCGTCTAGAAGGCCCCTATAATAGAAAGGTAGTAATAGCGCCCTAAAAAGTTTTTACCGATTTAATAGCTTTACCTACGCGCAAAGTTTTTACCTTCTACTATTTACTATTAAAAGTATAGAGACTATAGTCTGCGCATATAGTATTAATAATAGCCTGCGCGCCTAGTATTATACCTTTACTATTATAAGTATAGA